TGAAAAAAAACACTTTTTATAGAAATATGGTAGACTCTACTTCTGTTTTTCTATGCTTTTCTACTGTAACATCCCACATCGCCCAGTGGAGTGGATCCTCTATGCCTTATATGTATATTCTCATCTCTACCTAACATGAGGCTTTTTGGGAAATCACTGGCTTCAGATTCCATAGGAACTCTAAAGTTAAGCAAGTTCGCGCGAGAACAATCCCATGATGGGTGACCCACTGGGAAGTTTTTGTGTGAGTTCCCAGAAACAAAACCGTGAAGGTGTGGTCGGGGCCTAAAGCTGACAATATCATGCTATGATGGAGTTGAGACTAGGATGTGGTGGGGGCTCAGACTGAGATGTGACAATTTGGTATCAGAGCTAATCCCTAGCCGGATGTGTGCCGACGAGGACGTCGGACCCCCTAAAAAGGGGTGGATTGTAACATCCCGCATCGCCTAGGGGAGTGGATCATTTATGCCTTATATGTATATTCTCATCTCTACCGAGCTCGAGACCTTTTGGGAACTCACTGGCTTTGAATTCCATAAGAACTCTGAAGTTAAGCGAGTTCGTGCGAGAGCAATCCCATGATGGGTGATCCATTCGGAAGTTCTCGTGTGAGTTCCTAGAAACAAAACCGTGAAGGAGTGGTCAGGGCCCAAAGCGGACAGTATCGTGCTATGGTGGAGTCAAGCCCGAGATGTGGTGGGGGTCCAGGCTGGGATGTGACATCTACTGTCATTGACAACAGTTAAAAAAAAAAACTTTTTTTTTTATGTTTTACCAAACATATTTAATATTCTAGATTTTTTAAATAAGCTCCTTTTAATATAATCATCACAATCCCAAACTAACCCTATGCAATCCACTTTTTATTCGTATGCATTGCACAAAGTATGAATTCTACGTGGGAGACTAAAAACATTGCCTACTAGTATAAATAATCTTTAGCTTCTTCCTATTATTGCTTATTGGTTAGGATAGATGTTCACATTCTAATATGCATGTCTGACTTCTTAATTAGAAATTTGATGAAAAAATAATCATATTTCAATTGTATAAATTGATATATGATTGGTATTGGTTATGATAGATGTTTTAGCTAATTTATAATTTGTATACCATGTTTATAATGATAGAACTTCTATTTGCTACGCCTTAAATCCAAATCTCGTAAATGACGAGTTCAGAATTAATTTATTTCTCTTTACTTTGTTGTATATATATTTGTGGATTTTTATCATAAATGATCCTTAACATTGGCTTAACTCATCATTTTAGTCCCTGACATTTGAAATCAATAAATTTAATCTTTGACATTATGGATAACCTGCAACAAGAAAATAAAGATGCTTGGGACTGGTTACATGCTAAACCAGCATATAATTCGAGTAGGTCACATTTTAGGACATATTACAAATGTGACATCTTGCTTAACAACTTGTGTGAGGCTTTCAATGCATAAATTGTCAAGGCAAGGGACAAGCCAATTTTGACAATGTTACAAATCGTAAGAAAGAACCTGACAGTGAGGATGGAAAATAGAGGAGTTGATGCCTTGAAATGGAAAAGATCTATGGGGCCAGAATTGAGAAAATTATTGAAAAATCCAAGTATGAAAGTGGGCATTGCATTGCATATCTAGTTGGAGATATGAAATATCAAGTCTCACACCTTTATGGAAGAGATGTTGCAGTTTACTTAGGTGCTAAAACTTGTTCTTGAAGGAAATGGGATCTTTGTGGAATCTCATGTCCTCATGCTATTGCCTGGATTTTGAGGAAGGGATAAGATGTTGCCTTGTATGTTGATGATTACAAGCAAGCAACATACCTAAGGGCTTATGCACCAGTTATTTCACCACTGCCTAGCCCAGATCAATGGGACAAGCCTAGTAAGGAGACCACAAAAATTGATCCTCCCATTTACAAGAAGCAAATTGGAAGACCAAAGAAAAATAGGACTAAAGATCCTGGTGAAGAGCCCCCAATTACAAGTCATGAAGGGAAGAAGTTGAAAAGATGGATTTATACCAAGCTATATGCATGTAGGTCATGTGGACAAGAAGGCCATACTTCCAAGACATGGGGAAGGCAACAAAATCAAGCATCTATTAGTCAATCCGCTCAAGGAGTAACTCAATCTACCAACAACAAGCCTACATCAACTCAAACAAGACAGATATGTGTGAAGTTTAAAGAGTAAAAACCTTTGTATTTTTTTTTAATTGTAATAAGGTATATGGAACATGCGGAAGGTGTGGCCTAATTCGTTTTTATTTTCAATTTTTATAATGTGAAGTTGTGTATTGATATCTTGAGTATGTAGGTGGAAAGGGGCAGCAGAGTGGTTAGAGGTAGGGGTGGGCACTTGGAAATGAAAATTGAAACCGAAACACGAATTGAATCGGACCACACCGAACAATTTAGTTTTGTGGTTTTGAAACAGTTGCGGTTTCAAAACCGTACCACGACAAAGAAAACGGTTTGATTTCAGTTTTGAGTTTTCAAAACCACATCAAAACCAAAACCGCACCATATATTGAATGTTATGTTTTAATTAGTTCAACTAGACTAGTCATCCAATTTTGCACCACTATTCGACATTACTGCCCTGAATTCACTGTTTGCATCTATATGTCTCTCTCTTTCTTAAAACTCATCTTCATCTATCCCTCAAAACCCATCTTCATCTCTCCCACAGTCGACATCATTACCTTATCTCTACTCCTTCCATTAATTACTGTTGTTGGAAAATATTTGGCAACTTCTCGTACTGCAGCACGCATCTATCGATATATGGAACATAGTCAATATAATTAGGGTGGATTGAGTCATATGTAAAAACAGGAATGTTGTTATCAAGAAAATTAAAGACTGGCCTCATCAGATATGAAGGCACGGTCATGATCATCAACAATTGGTGAAAGGGTCCCATCGTAGTCTAGGAAAACAACCATCCTCTTCCCTTTTGCTGCTTTCATCATCCGATCAAATGAGCCCAATGCAAAAGGGTGCTCAACCTAAACATATAACACCCAAAAAGAATTATAAAATAAAAACAAACAAGGATATATATGGGAAGAATTGTCATAAGATCACCAACTAAGTCCAAATGGCTAGAATGTACCACCCAGGAATTATAAGCTAAATCTGAGGAGAGTGGTCTATTAGGGGTAGAGATGTCATGCAGGTTTAACAGTCTTATGCATAAATAGGTGTATATTTTAAAGTGTACATTTTTTTCTTAAAAACCAAACTGAAACCGTTTGAAACCGCACCGAACCGAACCAAATGGTTTGGTTTCATTTTGGTTTTGGCTTCAAAACTGCACTGAACTGTACCGTAAAAAGTTTCGGTTTCGATTTCGGTTGTAGTTTCACTCGAAACCGCACTGAGCCACACCGCGCCCACCCCTAGTTAGAGGAAGAGCCATGGGAAGAGGTACATGCAGAGAAAGAGGCATGGTTTCAAGCTCACAACCCACCATTCCACCAATTCAACATGTTCAGTCAACCCAAGGATTTGGTGCAAAAAGAGGAAAGCCATGCAAGCCTTGAAGGATTTGGTGAAAATTTGGCAACTTAGTTGTGTTTTTCAAGTTTTTGAAAACTATCTCAATATTTAAGGTTTTTTGTTTTTGCATTAAAAAACATGAGATGTTATTGTTGTTTAATGCTTTTGGGATTTAATGGGTATGTTGTTATGAACAATGGTTATTTCTTTTGGAACGATATGCTATTAACAATGAAATATGCAAATTAATAGATTTTGTTTCTTATGTGTTTGAACAAATGTCATTTTGGAATGGTATATTTCATTTGGAATGATATGCTATCAACATTTTGCACAAAACCATTTACTAAAATGGCTGGGCATTTTTTTTAAGTGGGAAAAGGCCTCATTTTAACTTTTCGAAATGAAACAATCACAAATGTTTGCCGCCGAATTTAGCAAGAAAGGGAAAAAGTCGAGTCAGCACGTGAGTCAACAAATGTTTGCTGCCAAATTCAAGAAGTGAGGTGATTGGACGAAAATGCCCTCTCTTAAAGGGTCACGTGAGACAGCACATGCTTTTTTAACGAAGGATTTAACGGATTATTGACGAAAATACAACATTGATGTGTGGCATCGAATGTCAAGGACTAAATTTATTGATTTTGAATGTTAGAAACCAAAATGATGAGTTAAGTCAAAGTCAAAAACTATTTGTGATAAAAATCATATATTTGTATATAAAGAAAAAATTGAACACAAAATTGCGCCAAAAAGTCTTAGTTTTTAAAGCATTAGGCAGTCGTAAGTTGGACCACAATGGCTCATTTGCCAATCCAAAAAAAAACACTGAAAAGCTAAATGAGTATGGACTCATTTGCCATACCGAATAAAGCCCAATATTGAACATGGACCAAACAAAGCACAAAAATAAACACAACCAAACAAAATCCTATAATTTTCACCAACACATTTTCTCTAATGGGAGAGGAGAGAGTTCAAATTTGAAACGCATGCAGTGCGTTGAAGAGTAATGCCCTATTTACTAAGTTAATGCACAACTTAAAATAGAGCAATATAATAATTTTCACTAAATGAAGTTATTAGTTATGTTATAAACTGTTAATCTCAACTATATTTTTAAATAAAGGGAGCTCCAATTGAGAGAGATGAGAGAAATATGAAGTTTGGTGGTGGAAGGAAGGTGGTGCATGCATGGTTTTTCATGTTGCAGTGGGAGCAAATAGTGGTGGGACAAGCAGTTTGGTGCAACCTCATTAGGGTGGTTGGTTGCTCTTTCACCCTCCCAAATACATTGACCCTGTAAGATTATGGTACGTTGACCAAAAAAGCTTGTTAATTAAGGATTAGCCTAACCTGTTTTGTTTGGTAAGGGCATTGACATGTTTGGGGAGAATGGTCAAGCAAATGAAATCAGTTACAATCTCACTCACACCCCAAATATATGCTCTAATTTAGATCAAATTGAAAAACAAATTCTTCCATATTTTCTCCACGGCGTTAAAGATCCAATGGGGTCCCTTGGCCCCCATGGTCCTTCTCTCCCTCCCTGTAGATCCCAACCCAAGTGGCTTTGCAGATCTAACACGTCTGCTCCCGTATTATTAATTTTTGCTTTTCTTGCAGTTTGGCGTTCAACCATAATCTATAATCTTATATTATATAAGCAGCACCCAACACCCTTCTCCCTCTCATTTCTCTGCACCCCAAATCTTTGGTTCCGAAATTTCCAGCTTCCATTTTTTGTCTTTTTGGTTTTAAAGGTTTCTTGGTATTGGACGTAAGATCGAGGTGCTTTGTGTTTGTCAGTTTGTCACATCCCTTCTGAGTTTTGATTCTTGACGTGCTTTGGCGAACATGAAATAGTCAGATTTCATTTATTATTTGCAACTGCTGGGTCTGCAGCTGGGTGTCCAGAATCCCAAAACCCCCAAACACCACGTCACCTCTGTCACCAAAAACCCACCACCCTATTCGTTTTAGAGCTAAACCATCACAATTTCACCAAAAGGGTTCCATCCAGTTGATATTTTGAGTATTTGAGGAGATCGATATATATCACCGGCCATTGAAATGGGAAATTGTCAGGCGGCGGAGGCAGCGACGGTGGTGATTCAGCACCCCGGGGCCAACAAGATCGAGAGGATTTACTGGTCTGTGGGCGCTCATGAGGTCATGACTTCCAACCCTGGTCACTACGTGGCTCTTGTCGTCAACTCTCCCACCATGAAGTCTGAGACCGGTGCTCCAGTGAAGCAGCTCAAGCTTCTCAGACCAGACGACACTTTACTCATTGGACAGGTTTATCGCCTCATCAGTTTTGAAGGTCAATTTTCTAATTTCGGTTTTCAGTTTTCCAGCAACGAGTTTTAATCGATTAGGCTTTCTTTTGTTTAAAGAACAACGCTTTTCAGTTGGATTATGTAAATGTTACATCCGAATCACAGTATCACAATATAAACGTTTTTCTAGCAAAGAAACTCACCAAATGACAATTTAAACATTTATAATATTGGGTCTCTTTTGTTATATATGCACAGATGTGTTGAAGGAGTTTGCTGCCAAAAAGTCCGTGAAGCTGGGAAAGTTGCTGAAGGATAGAGGTGGGCTTGGAGTGGAAATGAAGATGAAGGACCTGGCGGTTCAGAATTTGAAGTCCGGGAACAACAATTCTGTCAAGGTAAATATAAAATTATTTGACCTTAAAGACCCTTCATAATTAAACCATCTTGGCATCAATCATTGTTGAATCATATGAACTCATTAGGGTAATTTGGTCATTCAAAATTGACGTGATAACTCCATGATATGAAACTCGGATATCAAGCACTTTGTTTGTAGACTTTGTCTTTTGTTCTTTACTAGAGCGGGAATACGTATCTATGAATGTGTGTCGGGCATTTTTCCTTTTGTCTGTCACTTCAATTTATTAGAGCATCTTTAACGGTTTTGTTAAATTTTGTTAGTTTATAAAATAAACGACGTCAAAAAACAATTTTAGCAAATTTTGGGTAACACCTTTTCTTTTTCTCAGATACTTTACCTAGGATAAAAAAAATTGGTACTCTTAAAACACGATCCAATATTCTAAATGTTACAATATAAGTGGTTAAATTTTTTACTTTTTATTATCCAACCGACTGCTTGTGTAATGATACTTAGTATACCGTATACTGGCACACTAAAAAATCTCTTTAAGATACTCTATATATATATATATACACACACACACACATACATACATATGTAAGAATCTCACCCCACTCAACTGCCCATTAAAAATGGTAAGATGCAGCACCACAGTAGTTTAGCATGATTTGGAGACGAATCCCTTTACTGATATGAAAAGAGAACTTGTAAATACTAACGAATAATTATTACTTAACTGTTACATGTAGAAAAGAGGGGTTGTGTGCGGAGGGAAGAAGAGAATAGGATGGGCCGGGCCTATCCTCACATTTTTTAGCAGGCCTTCCTTCCCCTATAAACATCTTTCATTATTCCTCTTTACAACCCTTCTCCTATTAGTCAATAATACAAAACACATTATAAACTATCTCCTATTTAAAATTCCAATTCCCATATTTGATTCCATCCCAACACTAAATTAATATTTATTTATTGGACATAAAATCAATAACCTTTAACATTTTGATAAAAAAACAAAAAAAATCTCTTAACATTAAACCCGTTCACTTTTAATTAAAACAAAAAACTTTTCTGGTCCTTCACAATCAACCCAGGAGCAAGAGTCCAAGACTAAAAGGCTATTATTCTTCTCATTTCTTGAAATTTCATACCTATTTTCATATAAAATTCAAATTAATTCAACAAAAACAATACTATTTGTAAAATCTATCTTACTATCTATAATTTTTTTATTGTTTCTCATCTATCTTACATCTTACTTAAGTGTTAGAGTTTGGACCTTTTGATTACTCCTTCTTATTAAATTTAATAGTATAGATAACGAGGTTATCATGCAACGGTTTTAAAATATGAAAATTCGTGAGAGACAATTATGATTATTGAAAATGTAAAATATTATAGATGCATGTGTTATTATGGTGTTTTGGCTAGTAGTTTTGTAACTGTTATTCGTCATATTTTTTTGCATTTGTGAAAGGCCCTTCCTTACATGAAATCCTGGCTCCGCCACTGATTATATATTGGGTCAATGTTTGAACTGTCAAACATTTTTGGCCCCATTTTGCCAAACTCTACCAACTAATATATACATATATATATACATATACATATATATATACATATATATATATATATATAGTTGAATAAAGAGTCGAACATATATATTTATTTGTTGAACTTTCTGGCCCGATTTTTCCAAACTCTACCATCCAATTCATACTCATGTATATTGAGTTGAATAAAGAGTTGAACGTATATATTTAGATGGAAATGATAAAAAATAGTTTGAGAATTTAAATTTATAGGGTCAAATACAAGGTCGAACGCATGAGCATTTTGGTTTGGAAAATGGTTAAAGAGTTGTTTACCTTTTGGTTTGACAATAAAAAAATGTTTATGACTCATTGAAAGGTTTGTCATATGATGTGATTCCCCTTGCATAGTTGCGCAATTGACTTGTTTTAGCTCATCTAAAATTATACGGCTGTAAAACATAAGTGAAGTGTGAAAGAAAGTAAAACTCTTTCATGTATTTTAATCGTTGTTGCGTAACATACGTCCATGGTTAGGATCTCATCCATTTGTTGGAATTTTGCGTTGCCATATTTGACAATAAGCAATGGTGGCCACTATGTACGATCCACTACCGAGTACATTCATTTTATTTTCATGAATATTCATGCTTATTTCTAATATTTAAATAGAATAAGTAAAAAAAAATTAAAAAAAGGAACAAAAATATATAAGATATGCAGAAGAATTAAAAGTGTATGCAAAAATAATTTTCTGTGTGCAAAGTTTATAGTAACTGGCATGGCTTACGTCATCGTTCCCTAAGTCTTCCATTCCAATGGTACATGGGGATGCATTTACCCCTTTATTCAAAGAATGTCAGATTTATGATGACAGTGGAAAGGTATCACTCTAAGATTTGCAAAATGATACACTTCTTTTCTAGCAAATATTTGGTGGGGGTTCAGAGATTTCATTTTCCTCTACCAATATCATAACTGATGGAAGTAGTTTCAACTCCTAACCATATGATTCAGTTATGTTTTTCTTAGAAGACATGTGTAGTTAATGCATGACTACTTAGGCTTAATCTGGCGAACAACCCTAGTTAGGTATGCTTCAAACTTGCTTAATTAAACTTATAATCTAATAGAAAAGATATCGATGCATGGTTTTAAAATACTTATTTATTTCTTCAGATGGAGAGTGTGGGAAGCAGCTGTGGCAGCAAAAGCACTAACAACGGCAGAAGCTACAGAAGTGTGGGAAGGAACCATGGTGGTGTAGGTGGTGGGGAGCAGTGGAGGCCTGCCTTGCAGAGCATTGCAGAGGTTGGAACTTGAAATATTATGCATGCAGCACCACCACCCTATGATCTCATCAGAACCCTTGATTTCTCTGTCGTTCTCTCCCACCAATAAAAACAACCAGAAGCAGCTACTCCTTTCGCTCTCTCCAATACCTTCATATTCTCTTTTCTCTTTTAGACTGACAGATTCCACTATTGTACGTCCTTGCTAGCTAGCCATGGCCTATAGCGTTTCCAGAGTTTAGAATCTTTAGATGTCATGCATGAAGAGAATAATAGAGTATATAAAAATGTAAAAGATGTTAACAGTTAGTTAAAGTTACTGTAGTAATAATTTCTTTACATTTGCTATCTTTAGTTTTACCACAGTTGATTGTATATATACTCTGTAATATTATTCTTTTAGTTTAATGAGAAAGACTTTTCATTTCCTCAATATGGTATCCTCCGCCAGAAGTCTACCGACTTCGATCCTCTAATCATTTTCTTAGTACCCAAACAGATCCCTTCCGCTGTTTTCTTCCTAACCAAACAGATCTCTTCAACTAATTTTCTTCCCTGATTCTTTGTATCCATGGCGGCTACTTCTTCTTCTCCGCTGCCTGAGCATTCTCCTTCTTCTCAGGATGCTATTCCCTCTCTTTCTTCCACTCAGGTCTCGATCAATCACATCACAATCCAGAACATCGGAAGCATGGTTCAGACGAAGCTGAAACGCCACAATTATCTCGTTTGGAAATCTCTCTTTGATCCGATCTTTCGCCGGTACAAGCTTGCTGGATTTGTTGATGGATCTGAACCTGCACCGCCTCAATTACTCTGTGATTCTTCAGGAAATATGATTCCTAATCCTGCCTTCGAGTTATGGTATGAAACTGATCAGAATATCATCATCTGGATTAATTCTACACTCTCTGAGGATTTGCTTCCCTTCACTGTCGGTGTTCAATCTGCTCGGGAATTATGGCAGAATCTTGAACGGAGATTTGGTGGTGTATCGCGATCTCACATTCATCAACTGCGGTCCACTCTTCAATCGATCACTAAAGGCACCTCTTCCATCTCTGAGTACTTTCAGCGTCTCAAGGAAGTCACCGATGCTCTTGCGGCTGCTGGCGCCCCCGTTGATGATCATGATTTGCTGATGATAATTCTTAATGGCCTTCCTGATGACTATGATTCATTTGTTGATTCCGTCCAATTTCGTCTTGCTGATACGACTGTTGATGATCTTCATGGTTTCTTGCTTAGCAAAGAACTGGCGCTTGCACGGAAGCAGCATGCAAAAGGCTTCTCTATTGAACCTTTTCAGGCTTTTCAAGCATCCTCTAACACCGCTCCTCCTTTGCTCCCTACACCAGCTCTTCTCCCTAAACCTCAAGCCTACGATGCTCATCCTCAGAATCGTGATCAGCGCAATTCCTTCAACAACACTCGTACTCAGCGCAATTACAACACCAACAACAATCGTAATCGATTCAATCGCTCCACCTTCAATTTTCAGAATCGTGGTGGTTCTCGTGGCGGCCCTCGGTTTTTCAACAACTTTAAACCTTCTCCTTGCCAGATCTGTGAAGATCCAGGCCACCAAGCCATTGATTGCAGTCATCGTATGAATCCTAATTTTCAAGGTTGTGTTCCTCCTGCCAAGCTTGCCATGTACGCTAATCCTCCTGGTCATTCCTCTCCTCCATGGCTCCTCGATTCTGGAGCAAGTTCCCACATGACCAATAACATTCAGAATTTGCAGAATCCACAACCATATCATGGCTATGAGAAGGTTTATATTGGTGATGGCCAAGGTTTGCAAATCCATCACTCTGGCTCCTCTTTACTTCGCACTCCTTATGCTACGTTTCAATTAAAGAATGTTTTACATGTTCCTCAATTAAAACATGATCTGCTTTCTGCCAATATGTTTTTTGTGGATAATTGGTGTTCTGTGACTCTGAATCCTTTTGACTTCAATGTCAAGGATCTTACTACGGGGAAGATGCTTTTTAGAGGCCCTGTTCGCCATGGTCTCTATCCGTTCTCTGCCTTTCCTCCTCATTCCAGCAGATATCTTGCTACTCCTGCAATAAAGACTTCACCTCATATTTGGCATCAACGCTTGGGACATCCAACGATCAAGACATTAAGATCTGTTATTTCTCGGTCTTCACTGCCTATTACTACTTCAGTTGATCAGCTCTTCTGTTCCAATTGTATATTAGATAAGTGTGCTAGGTTGCCATTTCATGCTTCTATTAGTATAACATCTAGACCATTGGAGCTTGTTCATGCTGATGTGTGGGGCCCTGCACCATTACTTTCTGTTAGTGGATACAAGTTCTATGTTCTTTTTGTTGATGACTTCACCAAGTATACTTGGTTGTATCCTCTCAAACATAAATCGGATGTCTTTGTTACTTTTGTTCAATTTCAAGCTTTGGTTGAAAATGTTTCTGGCTTCAAGATTGGTACTTTACGCACAGACTCAGGGGGTGAGTTTCTTAGTTCTACTTTTCATAAGCATCTTGCTTCTTGTGGTATTCAACATCATCTCAGTTGTCTGCACACTCCCCAGCAAAACGGTTGTGCTGAACGGAAGCACCGGCATATTGTTGAAACTGCCCGAACTTTATTGATTGCTTCTAAAGTGCCTCATCAATTTTGGGTGGAGGCTTTCTTCACTGCCACTTACCTCATTAATCGGTTGCCTCCTCCTTCCAAACCTTCTCCATGGGAACAGTTCTTTCGAAAGCCTCCTGATTACAGTCAGCTCAGAGTCTTTGGTTGCAGTTGCTATCCTTGGTTAAAACCCTATATCACTTCCAAATTGGATGCTAAAAGTAAACCCTGTGTGTTTATTGGTTACAGTTTGATTCATAAAGGGTATCGCTGTTTAGATCCTATCACCAATCGAGTCTACATATCTCGCCATGTGTATTTTGATGAGACCTCTTTTCCTTTCCACACATTTACATCCTCTTCCCCTAATCCTTCTCCTACTACTTCCTCTCCTTTTTCTCTTGACTTTCCTCATCTATATCCTCCTCCTTCTTCACCGTGTCCTGCTCCTCACCCTGCCACACCATCTGCCCAACTTTTATCTGCCTCTCCTTCTCCTGCCCATCATTCTCCCATAGCTTCCCCTACCCCTCTACCTTCCCCTGTTATCTCTGCTCACCCTATGCAAACTAGATCTAAATCCGGCATCTTTAAACCCAAAGCATACACAGCTACTAAACATCCCTTACCCGATCCCTTAGACAGTGCATATGTCCCTTCAACTTATCTTCAAGCATCTAAGTATCCCCATTGGCGGGCCGCAATGCAAGATGAATTTAATGCTCTGCAAAATACAGGTACCTGGCACCTTGTTCCTCCTTCTTCTTCTCAAAACTTAGTCGGCTGTAAATGGGTTTTCCGTATTAAACGCAAACCCGATGGCTCTGTGGATCGTTATAAGGCCAGATTAGTGGCAAAGGGGTATAACCAGCAAGAAGGCATTGATTTTAGTGAGACTTTCTGTCCAGTGGCCAAACCAGTCACCATCCGGATATTACTTACTCTGGCAGCTCAATCTCACTGGTTTTTACATCAATTGGATGTTAGTAATGCATTCTTACATGGCAATCTAAAAGAGGATGTCTTCATGGCTCAACCCTCAGGTTTTATTGATCCTGCTCATCCTCATCATGTGTGTCACTTAAAGAAGTCCCTGTATGGTTTGCGGCAAGCTCCCCGGGCTTGGTTTGAAAAGCTTCAATCTGCTTTGTTTTCTATTGGCTTCCATGCTTCTCAATCGGATCACAGTTTGTTTGTCCTTCACCAACCAGTTTTAGTTCTTGTTCTCGTCTATGTGGATGATATTATTGTGACCGGCCCCTCTTCTATTGCCTGTAATGATGTTATCTCTCAGTTAACTGCTCAGTTTCCTGTCAAATATCTCGGCGATCTTCATTATTTTCTTGGCTTAGAAGTCCAGCGCTCTCCTGCGGGTGTATTCATTCATCAATCCAAATATATTTTGGACTTGCTCACAAGAACTCACATGGATGGTGCCAAACCTTGTCTTACTCCTCTCGGCTCTGCCAAACTTGATCACACTGGGTCTTTACTTGAAGATCCTACTGAATATAGGAATATTGTTGGGGCTCTTCAGTATCTTACATGGACTAGGCCTGATCTTTCTTTTGTTGTGAACCTTGTTTGTCAGTTTATGCATTCTCCACGGGTTCCTCATCTCCAAGCTGTCAAACGTATTTTACGCTATCTCAAAGGGTCTTTTGGTCTTGGCTTGTGGTTTCCCAAGGTTTCTTCTTCTCTCACCCTTAAAGCTTACTCGGATGCAGATTGGGCTGGGTGTTCTTGGGACAGGCGGTCTACTGGCGGCTTCTGTATATTTCTTGGTCCTTCCCTCATTAGCTGGAGTGCTAAGAAGCAACATACTGTTGCTCGGTCCTCCACCGAAGCTAAATACAGGTCCTTAGCCCATACCGCTGCTGAAATTACTTGGATTTGCAAGTTGTTTGCTGATATTGGTTTTCAAATACCTGTTTTACCTCAGATTTGGTGTGATAACATTTCTGCGATTTGTTTGGCTTCGAATCCGGTCTTCCATGCTCGTACAAAGCATGTTGAAATCGACTATCATTATATTCGGGAGCTTGTTCTTGCTAAGCTTCTCACTGTTCAGTTTGTTTGCAGCCAAGATCAGCTTGCTGACATCCACACTAAATCTCTTCCTCGTCAACGTTTTCTTGATCTGCGGTCCAAGCTTTCCCTCCAATCCTCTCCGTTTAGCTTGAGGGGGTGTGAAGAGAATAATAGAGTATATAAAAATGTAAAAGATGTTAACAGTTAGTTAAAGTTACTGTAGTAATAATTTCTTTTACATTTGCTATCTTTAGTTTTACCACAGTTGATTGTATATATACTCTGTAATATTATTCTTTTAGTTTAATGAGAAAGACTTTTCATTTCCTCAATAATGCATAACTCATTGAACTTGGACAGGGTCGTACGTATACCACTCTTGCAGATTAGGTTAAACCTTTAAATTGTTGTAATTAGCTGCAAACTGTATTGCCCAAGGGGAACTTAGTTCCGTTTTATTAGGCTAATCAATTTCACCTTCTTTTGTATTTATCAAACAATGAATGAGTAGCTTAGTATCAATGCTATGAACCTGTTCCGTAACTCTTAATTTTATTTTCTGGTTTTTAGTTTTTATTTTTGTGTTAGAGATAAAGACGATAACTACATGAAAGAAA